GGCAGTGCTGGGGGTCACAGGGTGACAGGGACAGGCGCTGGGGACTCTGGTGGCTCTGCGGGGACAAGGGGCAGTGCTGGGGGTCACAGGGTGACAGGGACAGGCGCTGGGGACTCTGGTGGCTCTGTGGGGACAAGGGGCAGTGCTGGGGGTCCCAGGGACAGGCGCTGGGGACTCTGGTGGCTCTGCAGGTGTCCTTGCAGGGGAACAGCAGCTTTGTCACCCCGGGGTGACCCCACAGGCGCTGCCCCCCCCTCGGGACGGGTGAGGAGACGGGAAATACTCGGAGAATCTCAAGCCATGCTTTATTGTGCCGTGAGCGGGGCTGTCCCGAGCAGGCTGGGAGCAGCCAGAGCCCAATTCCCAAATTCCCAAAGCTTCCCTCTGCCAGGTTTCCGTGCCCAGGCTCAGTCCTGGTCGGGCCCGCAGCGCTCGGAGCCGTGGCTGATGCGGTGGGCGTCGTCGGCCACCTTGCTCAGCACGATGGTGAACTCCTCGAAGCTCAGCTCCTTGTCCTTGTTCAGGTCGGTCTCTTGGAAAAGCTTCTCCAGGTATCCAGCCTGGTTCCTGTTCTGTGATTGGGGACAGGACAGGGGGGTCACGTCCCTCCCCGGGGGAGCCTTCAGCTCCTTCCCTGCCCTGGGAAGGGTTTGGGAGCTGCAGGATGTCCTGACCCTCCCCTGCCTTGCCCTTAGCCCCAGGTGGAACCCCAGAGGGGACAGGATTTTATCCCAAACCCCATTTGGGGTCAGGGCTTTGTCCCAAACCCCATTTGGGGACAGGGCTTTGTCCCAAACCCCATTTGAGGACAGGGCTTTGTCCCAAACCCCATTGAGGACAGGGTTTTGTCCCAAACCCCACTGGGGACAGGTTTTTGTCCCAAACCCCTTGGGACAGGGTTTTGTCCCAAACCCCATTTGGGGACAGGGTTTTGTCCCAAACCCCGCGGCAGGAGGAAGAGGAGGGCTGAGCCCCAGCATGGGGGTCACCAGGAGCCCCCAGCCCTGCTCCCCATCCCGGCGGGATCGTCCCCCCAGCACTCACGCAGCTCCCCAGGAAGGACGGCGCCTGCTCCGTCAGCAGCGTCCTGAAGTCGCCGAGGCTGAGCAGGTCGATCTCGCCCTGGCGGATGCTGTACTGGTGGAAAACGTCCACCACGGTCTGCAGGGCCTTCTCCAAGGTGCAATTCCCGGGGAACTGCCGGCTCCCGGCGTGGCTGTGGCTGCTGGAGGACATGGCTGAGCTCCGGAGGTACCTGCAGGACAAACCTCGGAGTCGTGAGAGGAGACAAAAACCAGAGGCAGCTGCGCCTGGAGCCTCGTCCTGCTGGGGCTGAGCCCGGGGCACCTTCAGCTCCCCGGTGTGGAGCAGAAAATGAGGGGATTTGGGGAAATTGCCAGGATCCGGCTCCAGTT